GGCAGCAGTATCCTCAAGACAGTCTTTCATATTCCTGTGACCTAGTAACTGTGGGAGACATCCAGGTCAACACTTAAACACAACCAAGTTACATAAACGCTGAACTTCTGTCAGGCTCAGAGGGTTCCTTTAATTATTCCTGGCAACTAACCACCAATGCCCCCCCCCCCACGCTCCCTGCACCCCCCCGTCCCTCAGGCCGTCCTGGGCTCACTCAAGACTCAACATCTAACCGTGGCGCTCCTGTCCTCGGGCTCTGTCACTGAGGGGAAGGAGCGAGAGATTAGGACACACCTCAGTGGGCAGTAGCTGGCCGCTGCCCGGCCCGTGGCGCCTGACTCATCCCATTCTCCTCCGCTTTTCATGGGCTGACATTCCCTTCAGCCCTTGCTCTTACAGGCAGCTCATTGCTTTGACATGCTGGGGAGTTCTCCAGCAAACAGGGAACTTTTACCTCTGACCAAACAGAGTGGGTGAACACTTGTGAAGCACAACCCGCTGCAGGAGGCTGTGACTAAAGGCCCCATTAGGATTGTTTGGCAAAATACAACACAGGGTGACTCACTCTTGCTTTTATGGTATTTGGATTTTGTCTCTTGTCTATAATCAGCACCTACTTTTTCTAATGTAAAATACATCTGATCTGTTTTGAGTGTGATTTGATTCACTTTGTGAACTGAGGCTAATGCTATTGACCTGACATGTTGTCTGCTGCAGACCACACATCCTGCCATAGCTCTGCTCCATTTAGCACATCGACTCCCCTCGGCTTCCAATATTGCCACGTCCGTGGTCCTGTTTTGCAAGCCCTCAGTGGTACCAGTCACAGCTGAAGCCTTTACAGCACGGGAAGCTTATTTTAGACCTGCTCTCTAGGTGACATCCACCTGGTCATTATTTTCAGGGCTGTGGACAAAGTGTTGCAACTTATAAAAGGTTTTCCATCGTCTGAGCTATACTGATTTGCAGTAGTGTACAAAATAGTTTATTATGTCTGCCAGCAAAATTATGTATCTGTCATCAGCAGAGCGTTAGAAAATGAAAAGTGTAATGGATAAAAGAGCCCTGTGTCCCTGGGAATCACCTGTGTAACAGACCTACCACTAATAACAACAGGGATGTCACCATCAAGTTGTTTTTTGGCTCAGATCCTGATTCCAGTTCTTTAATATCTGCTGATACCAAGTTCTCTCTGATGCTTATATTTACCCCAGAACATACAGCTGCCCAGTGTAGACTCAAGCTATGACCTGAACATAGGATAATGCTAACTTCTTCCTGACAGAAATCTTTGTCCCAAAGATGCTCAGTATACACAGAATGAATAAACAGCAGCTGGAGATTGAAGATTAAATATGTATCTGATGCATTGAAATAACAACTACTTAATCTGACACACCTTATTGTTCGGGAGCTGGTCCAAAATTATTAAACTGATCAGCTTCAATTATTGATGTTATATACCTGAGAGAAACTAGGAGAGAGTCTCCTGAAGTTGATTTGACATGATCAGCTCGAGGGAAGACGTATCACTCTGTTGGAACTATAAAAACAGGAGCTTCTTCCCTTGCAAATGATCTTTGGAGTACAGACACTGGCTTGCAGAAAGCACACAGCGACAACAGACTCTCCGTCAGGTTACTCACAGAATGAATGTTAATTAGTGACAGTGGAACTGATCTGCCGTCAGTGAAGTTTGTCATTTAAACCGGTGAAAGCAACGGTAGCACCGGCTAAAAAGGACAAGCTGCTGCCTGATTGTTTTGTACACTACTCTGCTAATTAGAAAGAGGGATATGCTAATGTCGGAGCTTAGTAAATCCCTAAATCCAGATGTGTGATAGCTCAGCATTAGTAGCAATGGCTGTAAATACTTTTTCACATTTGTACACTGTGATTGTCAGTCAACACTTTACGCTGCTGCAAAGGAGAACAGCTTTGCAACACTTGCAGGCTCAGGTGGACACAACAGGCTACAGTGAAGAAAGGAACGGCATTTGATCGGTTTTATTTTAGATACCGATCCATTGAAATTCATCTGGATCAGCCCTGATATTTATCCTTTGGATCACTTTTTTTATGCATTGTGTTTGCTTTGTTACTGTGCACAAGTCCGCACATACTGCCAATGGTTTTATGCTGTCCTGGTTATCAACAGTTGGGGATAGTAATGTGCCATGAAATATAGCAAAGAGCTAACAAAGGTAGTGAAGGAGAAGATTGCAGGCTAGCAAACATGGAACACTGCAGGATTTCAGATATTTAAATAGTGTGATATTTTATTGGACCTCAATAATCCAGAATGTGTTTTACCGAGAAACCGAATAAAAGCACAAACTTTAACATTGGCACTGAACGTAACAAAGAAAGTCACATGGCTTTGCTGAATCGAGCACTATCAACTATTCTTGTGTGGTAACAGGGGTGATGCACACAGAACTTGTAGACCTAAGTAAAAATAGTTTTAAGAACATTTTTTTGGTTTAAAATATTACTTATTTTTTAAGCATTTGCAATATCATTCTAAAGCGTCGATGTCTTTATTGTGATATCCACATCACATTCATTTTAACTTCAGGAGTAGTAGGAACAGTGAGTGCTGGAGGGATCATTTTGATAGTTTAAAGATGATGTGAGCTTGCCCCGCTGTGAACCCAGACAAAAAAAAACTGTCTGTCCACCTCCATAATTTGAGAGGGGGGGGGGGGGTTGTCCTGCTCTGAAAAAGACGCTGTGTTCCCAGTAAATGTAATGGCCCCTTTTTGGAGTCAGCACTTTAAGCTCCTGAGCTGGTGAGAACAACATCTGATCTAATTTTCTGCCCTCTCAGTTAGCTGTAGACCACCGCCGCCGCTGCTGGTGTGAATCATAGTTTCACCTCCCAGCAGCTGTGAATATATTGTAGTTGATTATTAAAGTACATTTTATTATGGGCCTTTTTCCGTTTTCCATTTTTCTCGTGTGAGTCGTGAGTGATTGTCGTTATTTAACCTGTCTATTCAGGGAACAGGTTTTCTCTGTGTTCACCGACATTCTGCAGCACATTATTGCTTCTAAACATAGTCACAGCTTGGAGCTTGTTTATTTGTCATCAATTCTGCCCTACAAAGACAGTAGTTGAGAAAAAAAAAGTGTTTTTTAAGGTTGGCTGGCAAACAGATAGAAAGATTGTAATTCCTTCATTTCATGCCTTTTCAAGATGTTTATTCTACCCCCCAAAAAAAATTCCAATATAACCTAAAAAATAACTTCAGTACTCGGAGAAACTGCAGCATCTACAAATAAAATGTGTTTTAGTTTTATTTGGTTTATTAGCAGTCTAGCTCTGAATGCAATACATCTGTCTCTCCATCCCCACTGAAATAAGTATAATACAATAATTTATTAACTTAAAATAATGTCTTTCTCAGGAGTTTAGCATTATTTTCCTTGCTCATATTTTCCTGTTTGTCCCGGGAATTAAACCTTCAAGCCTCTTGTGCCGTTCTAAGTCATCGATATCTATGACCTAAGGGTCAATGAAGGGATTTTTTTTTTTATAAAATACATGGAACCTGGTTTGGAAAAAAAACAAAACAAACAAACTTATGTTTCCCATGAGGCGCTATTAGAGATGCTATTACTGTCTTGGCAGCTGTGTGGCAAATGTAGTGGCCGTGAGTGTGTCGGGGGTGGAGCGGAGGTTCTTCTTGGAATGTCATGTGTGGAATCCTGTAATTCAGGTGATGTGGAAATCTGAGAACTGACACAGGCTAAATCTGGTTTTTGCCAAACCACCCAGTCTTGTTATACATGAACATAATTAACATGTACATTTAATTCAGTCCACCATGATGTTACTTTTAACCAATTATTGTCCTTGTTAGTGCTGAGATAATTAGTCGAATGATCAATACGTCAGCAATTGCGATTATAAATTATAATTTAAGTGATTTATCAAGTAGAAATGTCCAACATTTACTGGTTTGAGGATTTATTGGTTTCAGATTTTTTTTTGTTGTTTTTGTCTGAATTACATCGTAAATTAAAATGAAATATCACAATGTTTTGGACTGCTGGTCAGATACAAGCTGTATGAAGACAACAGCTTGCATTCTGGGATGTGGTAATCATTATTTTATTACATTTAGTCTATTTACTGAGCAACTAAATGCAAAAAATAACTGACAGATGAATGAAATACAGAGCAGCCGTTGAATATTTCGGATATACCTCTCCTGATGATGATCATCTGATGTCTATTTGTGTTGTTCAGATGTTGTTTTTGTTTTATGTTTGTTTTCATCTTCATAGCATCATATCATACCATCTCACTCACTTCACATATACACATTTGTGCTAAGTAAATATTGACAGGCCTGTAGAATGAAAAATGTCAGTTTAGATGTGTTTTCCCTTATAAAGCTCCCACCACTGTACTCAAGCAACTCCTTTTGCTGCAGCAGGGTGGTGTGTGTGTGTGTGTGTGTGTGTGTGTATGTGCGCGCGTGGGGAATCTCCTCCTCAGTCCCACCCCGTCACATTAGTTCTGTGCATGTGGTAAAAAAGGAGGCAGGCAGTGCTGCACCGCTCACTCCGCTCAGCGCAGCTCAGAGCGCAGCATCCTCCGCTCCGCCGGGACGACAACCACAACGCGCCTCTCTCTTTAAACTGCTGGAACATTCAACCCAAGCAGGTCGTCTGAGGGAAAGTCTCCCTTCTTTTCTTCAGTAAACTGGCTCTATCGCGTGCTATAAAACGCACAGCCTGACGTTTTTCCCGATGTGGAGCCTTAAATGTTCTAAAACCAAAACAAGCCGCTTTCTGGACTCGAGGTGGGACGCGGTGTTTGCGTTTTGGATGTGCGGATCTTGGCGCTCTGCACACCGGCTCAAGCATCCGAAGTGCTAGTACTAGTGAAAAGACTTAACAGACTTTGTGCCGAGGCGGGGTGAGGACAGAAACCCCAGCAGCGTAGGAGTGACCATGGTCCAGAACGTAATTCTGGTGTTTTTCCGCAGGAGGCTGAGCCAGAGGCCGGCGGTGGAGGAGCTGGAGAGTCGGAACATCCTGAAGCGTAAGTAGTTCACCCATCGACAACTGTGACTGACTGTGACTGCAGCCTGACTCTCTGTTTGTGCCATTTAGGAAAGCAGTTTATAAACGTCTCTCTGCGTCGTTTCTGTTCTTAAACCAAATCCAAGAGTCTTCATTTGATTAAAAAAAAAAAACGATATTTGGACAATAATCCCTTAATATTCAAGCCTTATTTGACTGAGGTTAATGGTTTACACTTACATTAAGTGAATATTTCAAAGTAATACATGTTTATTACTTAAGCTACTAGTTATCATTTCTAAGATTCTTTGAAATTGTGTTTTTAAAAAAATATTTTTTATTATTACTTAGAGTACTTAGATGAACCAATATCTATCTGTACAAAACAATTAGTTCATGTCAGAAAACCTTCAAATAATCAAATAATAATTTAACAATCAATGAAACTCATCAACTATTATATGTTTCCATCTTCTCTGATGTGAGGATTTCCTGTTTTTTTTTCTGTTTGATGTTATTGTAAATTAAATATTTTGGGGTTTTAACCTGTTGTTGAGACAAAACAAGTCAATTGGAGACAATATCTTGTGCATTTTGAAATTGTGATGGACTGAAAGTATTTACTTTACTGGCGAATTCATGAAGCGCATATACCTCCACCAAGGAGTGAGAACCAGATTATTGTCTGGATCTGAAGCAAATTGTACAAAGTGGTAGATCTCAACACCACCAATATGACAGATTTTTTACATCAACATTCAAACATTTCCCGAGAAATTGACAAAAGTGTCAAAAAACACAATGTTTAGGAAAGTGATAAAAAAATGTTCCTGGATCCACCTCTTTCACCGGATCTTGCTCAATCCCTCCACCACGTTTGGTGCGAATCGGTTCAGTACGTTTTGTGTAATCCTGCTGACAAACAAAGAACCAGACACGGGTGAAAACATAATCTGCCAAATAATACGTAGATTAATCAACAATGGAACTACTACTGTATCTCTACAGACTTCAAGTCTCAGTAGGAAGTAGTTTGTTAACTGTAGCTCTGACTGTGTGTTCATGTTCTGAATCTTCCTCATCAGGACTTTTACTCACGTTCGACTCCTTAAAATTACTTTAATGCATTGTTATAGTTTTCCTTCCTCAGGGAGAAGGTGTCAGACTGTAGCACTTTAAACTGTGAAACTAGTCCCACTGTCCCTGAAAGTTCAGAACAATTATAAAACAGCCGTGTGAGGAATGAAGTCTCACATTAGCACTGAGTGCTTCTCCCGGCTGAGACGGGCCACCTGTGAGCTCTGAGCAGCTGTCTGTCTCATCACTGGCCCTGTGCAGTTCCAGAGAAACACGACCTCCTGCCATCAGGACTCTCACCATGGGCCACAGAAACATCCCCTGACAAAATAAGAGTCTTTTTTAAAAAAAAAAATGCAAAGAACTGAATGGTGTCTCCCTGTGGCGCTGCGTTCACTCAGAGAGTCAAGCGTACTCAGATGGCGACAGGTGCCAGCCTTGTTTTAAGCTGCCGAACTAGTTCAACAGCTTAAATATTTTTTGGAATGAATAAGAGAGAGAGAGAGATTAAAAATAAACTAAGTGACATCTAGTGATCCCTCTGCGGCATCTAATAAAGATAAATCCTATTAGTGCTCTAATCTGCACGTGTCTCACTCTCTAACTCACATTTGGTGCTGATCCGGAGTTGAAGTCGGCCCATGAGTCCTGACCTCAGCACGGTCACAGACTGGCTCACTCATGAGTATTGATTGTGAGGAGGATTGGACATATTAGCTCTGTTAATCTTCATCATCATCTGTCCAGTCCCAAGAAAAAGATGTCCGTCATTGTCAACATCAATGAGTTTGACCTGCTTTTTGGTGATAATATTTGTCTTGTGTCAACAGAGAGAAATGACCAGACAGAACAGGAGGAGAGGAGGGAAATCAAACAGCGGCTGAACAGAAAGGTAGGCGGTGGCTCCAGTGATTTGAGCCATTTCATAAAATGTCATCAATTTAATCCACACACCAGTCTTTAAACCAATCACAACCTTAATACCCAACCTGCTGCCGTTTTTTGATGTTTAGTTTCTATCACCGATCTCTTCAAACACGTTGATGAGAGCTACCGCTTATGACACAGTTATGTCCGTTTTCCAGTTGAACCAGCGGCCGACGGTGGACGAGCTGCGGGACAGAAAGATCCTGATCCGTTTCAGCGACTATGTGGAAGTGGCCAAAGCTCAGGACTATGACAGGCGAGCTGACAAGCCCTGGACCAGACTGTCAGCTGCTGACAAGGTAGCTAAAAAACATCTCTAGTGTTTTTAGGACTGATCAGCAACACAGGCCTTTTAAAGATTAAAATAATGAATCAGGGTCCATATTCTGACATCTGTTGATGGAATAGACCTGTGTCAGCACCACACACTAAAAGTAGGATTGTTGTGACAGTGCATTGTGCTGCATGAGGCTGCTCAGTCAGTGCCTTCAGACCTGTAGTCACGACTGCTGCTACAGTAGCTATAAGATCATCATTTTGAATTGTTTGATCCAATCATCTATCTTAATCACTGCTGATATAAGTCCAGGTCACGTTAATTTAAAGGTCCATATTTTACACTTTTCCAGTGTTTTATTTGAAGTGTTGATCCATAAGAAGATGTATTTGTGGTTTCAGGAACTAAAAACCATCTCAGTGTAGTTTCACATCTCCTCTCTCAGGCTTCTCTCTGGAGCTCTACTAACAACAGGTCGGTGAGCCAATCAGAAGAGAGGAGGCTCTGAGCCTATAAATAAATATAGCAGATTTCAGTTAAACACTCAAAAGAAACCAAATTCTGCAAGGTTGGATGGTGGGTCCAGATGGGCGGGACTAGGGGCATGACTGAGGGTGGTGATTGCTTTGTTGTGACATCACAAAGTTACAGAAGTCCTGACGGCTGGTTTTAAGGCTCAGTGTCTGAATATATGCTGTGTGCATTTCTCTGTGGACTGAACACTTTGATACTTTCACAGTATTGAAACAGAACCTAGACCTGCTTTATAATCAAACAACACATGGACATCTACCTTTATACAACATGGGACCTTTAATTAATTGTATTGTTAGAAATTGTTGTTATATACTGCTGGAAAGTACTGACAAACTGGATATAATAAATAATAGTTGGTCATATCTTCCCTTGAGGTTTTCTGTCATACGTTGTCCAGAATAATCTAATTAAATTTCATTGTATGTCTTATTAAAAAGACCTAAATTGAACTTGTCATGATCGACATTTCTAATATCACCTCCTGGCTGCCACACACATTTCTTAATCTACATAAAACCCAGTTGAGCTTACATAATCGACATCTCAACAACAGATGTTTCTGCATTTTCATAACATCCTCGTTTGAGGTTCACCACCTGAGCATCGATGTACGAGGGGGTGCACCTGGGCTCACGCTTGATGTTGCTTTTTGTTCGCAGGCGGCAATACGGAAGGAGCTGAATGAGTTCAAAAGTAATGAGATGGAAGTTCATTCTTCGAGCAAGCATCTGACAAGGTAAACGTGAACCAGTGCTGTTTTTTTTTTTTGTGTGTTCTTTTTGTCAGCTTTATTCTTAGTGGGTGATGTCTAAGGGGGTCGGTGTGACATTGTGCAAAAGCTCAGAGGTGCATTATCCAACGGTCTCACATCCATGAGTGCACACCCTGCAGAGCAGAGCTTAAATTTAGCTTCAATCAGGCCCCTTGAGATGAGAAAGTTGCACCTTTTTGCACCACCTCTCCACTATAATGAATGTCCGCACATATTTAGCTTATATTTTGCTTATGTCAAGACTGTCTGTAGCTTAAATTAGCTGAGGTTCTGCTTACGCAGGACCCCATTTCTGAGGAGAAGCCATTGGCTGCTGTTAAGAGCACCATCCATTAGGCTAATAATAGGACTCCTGATTGATGAAACCCGTTGGCCCACGCTCACTGTCCCTTCTTTTCCCTCTCACAGGTTCCACCGGCCTTAGCAAGGTTTCTTCTGTGAAGAGTTGCTGATACCTGGTTCTGTCAGTGAAGACCTTGCACGGAGTCTTCCAGCGTCCTGGCCCACAGTCAGTGGGTGTCCTGATATTTGGGTCCAGCAAACCTTGGAGGCTATGTCTCTAGAAATGGAGCTGCCGGTAGGGGGGGGGGGCGCATGCAGCAAGCTCCACTTCTTGCTCAGAGGAACAACTCCTTAACCCTCACTTCACACTTGTCAGAGGAGCAGGAAGAATCAAGGTCATGTATTCGCCATAGACAAGCAGAGACTTCTTTTTGTAAACAGACTTTTTTTTTTTTTTTTGGAAAGATGTCCTTTTGATGCCACAGGGGGGAAATGTGCATGTGACCGAGTCGACCAGTCCCACTCCAGTATCAGTAGTCACATCCCCGAGCTGTGTCTGAGTCTCACCGATTCAGTTCATGATGATTTCATATCGACAGTGTAAATGTTCTTAAAAAGAAACCTTGTCTGTGTACAAGACAAAAATCCCTTTGTAAGCACTATTTATTGTCTGCACAATACAGGTTTTCAATTTGTAACAAACTTTGTTTTGTCTTGTGTATAGTGTGATTTTGGTGTGTTTTTTAGAACCATAATTTAACATCATGGCACGGTGGAAATGGGATTTGGAAGTGTCAGAATTAGGGCAATAATTACTGACTAAGCATCATAAATGGGTTGTAATCCTATCAGTTTTATCTCAGAATGAACAAACATTTTTGTGCTTCAGTAAGCAGATAATAAAACTGTAGTTAAGTTCACCTTGTTGCATCAGATCAAGCAGCAATTAGTGCAGGCAGTGACCTGTTTCTTCATGTTATTCTCTGACAAACGAGGACAGGCATCAGTTGCAGGGCGTTAAGCAGGTTAGCCAGGTTAAAGACCCTCGTGAAAACAAGTTCACCTCACTGCGTTTTCCAATTTAGAGTGAGTTGTGTGTCTAATCACTGTTTGCAGGGGAACAGTAATGAGAGAAACAAGCCTCTGTGTGTGACTTACTGTGAGCTTGTTATTCCCAGACAAAGACATTAAAATAATGTAGGTGCACATGAGGTCGTTGTAAAGCTTCTTTCAGGAGGTCGAAGCCTCTTACCTGATATTAAATTTAAAAAAAAATAAAATAAAAAAATGAAACCAACAATAGCATGACAACATCTCTGTCAGGCACATTGGGATTGGCTCTCTCTGACATCAACATGCATGTTTTGTGAGTCACAGCCTCTGTCCTGGCCCTGGTGGAGGAGCAGATGGCTGCTCCAGTTTAAACTGTACTGTACTCCAGGACCGCTCGCTGTCTTTAGTAATGAAACCAGCAGCTATTGGCCCGAGAGCTGCGGCGACGGCTGATAGTGCCCGTCCAGGTCCAGAACAGCCCCGGGAACCTGTGGAGGTGCGTGGGAGGAACAAGGGATGCTCTCATGGGGCATGAGGGGGATATCCTGACTTCCGGGTTACCCTCAGATGCGTGAAGTCCAGGGATAAAGTCACACACACTCAACATATGTTCTGCAGTTTTGAGCCAAGTGTAACCGTGACGACTTTCTGGTTCCAAAATAGCCTTCGGATTATAAATCATGTCATATTTTGGACCATTTCCTTCCATATACTGGAAAACATTTAAGACCGGTAATTAACTGCTTGGTATAAGAATAGTACACAACGTCACTGATACTCAACAACACTGAGCACACAAGTTGTTATTTTGAATCACACATGAGCTTTTATATGAACAAATCTTTGCTTCTACAAATAAATATTCAATAATAATCAATCACATGCTCAATGAATGAATGCTGAACAAATATTACAAGTGACAGTTCTTTTATTCTAAAACACACAGGCCATAATGGTGTTTTAGTGATGTAACTCAATCACTGGGACTCATAACGATGCATCACTGTTTTACATTTCAATCCCAGCCAGTCCCCAGAGCAAACGTCACTACTGAGCATCATCTTGGCTCCTAATATGGTGCGTTGTTATATAACTACCAGCAACAAGCACAAGATGACAGCCCCCAAATAAAGGCACAGCGCTGCGAGGCCTCATGGATGTGTGCCCCGACAACAAACCGGCATGACAGCTAGGACTGTGAGTGAAGAACATCCGTACAAACAAGCGCCACGTTAGAGGCGATGGAGCCCAGGCGAGCCCCGGAGGATCCGAGAGGGGATGTTTGTTTTTGTTTCTGGTGTGACTGTAAAAGGTTCACATGATTTCAAGTGCAGAGGAGGTGATGAAGCCTCACAACACTAAGATTGTTCTTGCTGCATTGTTGTGGCTGTGCTACATGCTCATGCCTTTATCCACCATGCCTCATAATAACTGCTCCAGCAGAATAAGTCATCGTCTGTGAATCCAGTAATTACAAGCGAAATACAGACGCCAAGTACAAGAGACACCAACTGAGGGTTGCCAGGTTATGAATCCCCTCAGAGAGCTCTGAACATAATATACATTTCTTTGGGGAGTGCAGCTGCAGAAGGTTGAATCTTAGTCTCACAAATTTATTACCTGAAGACAGATGAAGCTTTCTACTGTACAATATTCTCAGTGGTGGAATGTAACATAGTACATTTACTCAGTTTTGAGGTACTTGTACACGACTGGATTGTGTCAGATTAAGATTTTACATGCAACCTGTGTGTGGAGATTATTGAGAATGATGCAGTGCTTTACTCTTAAACCAACCAGAGTAGTGTATAAAGTACCTACAATTGGCTAAACAGGTTACAACATTAAAGGAGCTATGTGTAAGTTTTGCATTAGCATTAACAGCTGTTTACTTACCAGTCTTGCCAAGAGCTTCAACCATTGTTGCATTTACAACACAGGAGGTTATAATACGTCCTCTGAGCAGCTACTTCTTCAGGGTAGAGTGGAAGCTACACTGACTCTGTATCGCAAAGTGTCAAGATGGGCCGACTGGGCAGAGGCTAGCTAGTCAGGATGCTAACTTTAGTAGAAGTAAAGAAGTGATGGAAATAGAATCGAAACGAAAGGGTTGTTTTCCACCTCTGGAGACAGCTCTTAGCCAGTAAAAGAATGAAGTTTAGATGCTGAACTCGCAATGTTTCTTTTGACTGATAAGTAAAAAGCTGTTAATGCTGATACTAGCTATGTAGCTATAGCAAAAATGTGCAGTGTAGCTCCTTTAAAATGTGCAATTTGTAAGATCTGGCCAAATCTGGCCAGAATTTTAGTTTGTTTAGAATGTTCAAAAATGAACTAACACCATCAATAGCGTCAATGTGAAGGAGCCACAGGGATGATGTCATGACCAAGACCACCATCTATTGTATTTCAGAGATATCTACTGAAATGAGCATGCTAACCAACTAGCCGCGTCCCGGACCGTGTTGTAATACCACCTAGACACACTAGATGCTGTGTGAGTCAGTGTAGTGTCTAAGAAGAGCTTCCTCCAGAACTTGAAGTTATGCTACAGCTCCCAACTAAAAACACAAAAGCTCCCGACGAACATCACAGAAACGCACAGATGTCTGAAGTGCCTAGAAACTAAAGTGATCTTTATCTCCATCCTGAAGAACTGCTCCAACAAGAAACAACGTTCAACGACAAAGAAGCAAAACACGGGGGAATGCTGGTGTGTTTTTCCATCGCAGGAGACAGCTCCGGCCGAGTAAAGAGATGAGACTTTTCTTTTAGACTGGTGAGTAACGTCTAATGTTGGTCTGTAGCGAAAAGTATCATTAGTGCAAATGACAAACACTTCAAGTGACATAAATGTATGATGTTGACTTTTTAGTGATTTAGTAGAATTTAGCCTGTTCTGCAGCTGTTGTCCAGCTAGATGCATCAGTAACTTTTTTTTACAAGCAAGATAAAGAGACTGTTTGACCTTTTCTTCTGCGTCTGGCCTCATCAATCATCAACATCCACATTGCAGTAACACCTTGGAGTATTATCCCTGCACAGATCAGATAAACTGTGATCTTTTGCACATCCTGCTCAGCAGGAGTTTTGCCAACACTTTTGTACGTTTTTTTTTCATAGTTTTATTTTTTTCTATCTATCTATGTATATTTATCTTTTTGACTGTTGCAGTATTTTACCTTTTTATTGTTATTTCCTGTTAATATGTTTATTGGATACTGCACGAAACACCAAGCCAAATATCTTGTAACTTAAAACCTACCTGGCAATAAACCTTATCTTCTGATTCTGCCTTTGTGATGATGTCATCATCCCTTCACATTCTGCTGTAGCAGACACCCATGTGTCATGCAGTATCCCCATGCCTTCATATTTTTATTTGTAATTAAAAACATACTGTTTGTATTACAAGTACTCATAATTTGTTTCAGTGCTATCAACAATTTTAACTATCAACAATAAATGCACATTTAAATAATAAATTATAAGGAACATGGGGAAAACAACAACATGATTAACTGGACAGGGGTGAAGAGGTGAAATGCTGCCCCCTATGGAGGTGGATCAAGTAGCACGATCTTACACATTATACCTTTTTAAGAAATCATGTTTTTACAATACAATAATACGACTCTAAATTGCCCGTAGGTGTGAATGTGAGTGCATGTGAGCCTTGTGATAGATGACATGTCCCAGATGACTCCAGGCTCCACACAACCCTAATGGGATGAGCAGTATGGATAATGAATGAATATTATATTACTGTAACAGGAGTGTTTCTGCATAATGAGTACTTTTGAATTTGATAGTTTAAGTACATTTTACACATACAATACAAACAGTATATATACAGCACCAGTCAAAAGTTTGGACACACATAAGGATATATAGTAACATTTTGACATGTTACTTGTACTTCTTCCACCACTGGTGATAGGATGATGTAGAAAAACAGCCCATAACCTTCATACTTTATAACAGTATTGCAATTTAACTGATGATGGTAAGCACATCTAAAGGACTGATATTTAAATTTCAAATAGGAGGAAAAATAAAACATTTAAGTTGCAAGCTGTTGAAACAAACAGTGGAGGAGTAAGTTAGTACTTTACCTTCTAATTTTGAGGTACCTTCTTTGGGTATTTTAATTTGACGCTACTTTCTACTTATACTCCAGGAAATGATTGTACCATCCCACTACATTAATTTGACAGCTACAGATACTTCAGGTTAAGATTTTATACTCAGAGCATAAAATCATCGTATAAAATGTGAAGTATTTATTTAAAGTAAGTAAAATGCTCCTCTGTAAATACATTAGTTAAAGTTGCTCTACTTTAAGCACCTACAGCATTAAAATGCTTCTTATATTACAATGCACAAGTAATAACGATCAACTAATATAATTAATTAATTAATATTTAATAATACAACAGACCAGGGATATGGTATTTTTACATTGCAAGGCTTCTCTTACTTAATTCTGGAACTGGATACTTCACCAATGGAAACAAAAATCACATTCTTGTTGTATTTCAAATGGAAATGTAGGAGCTTAGATTTGAGCAATGGCGCCATCTCATGTCCCGTAACTGCAACAACTGACTGCTTCAATATTACAGTGAGAGGTCATTGGGCAAATAGTATAGTTGCTATCAGTCATCCATGTACATGCATATTTTTTTGAACAAATCAAGAAATTCAAATCATGGCTAAACAGACCCCAAACCATAGTGTATCTTTTTAACCATTGAATATAAATTATATTCACATTGATGCAAACTGAAAATGTGGGACTATACACTCCTATGTTCACAGAAATGATGGATGTAACATAAATAATGACGTAATTATCAGGATTATAAGGACCTGCAGTTGTGAAAGAAGTCAGATCCTTTCCTTCAGTGAAAGTATCAATACCACAGAGCAAAAATACTCAATTACAAGTGAAAGTCCTCTAAAGTTTCACTTAAGTAAAAGTGCATCACTATCAGAAAAATGGAATTAAAACATCAAGAATACAAGTACTCATCATCCAGAATGGTCTTTTACTATATAATATTATTGAATTTTTATGACCCTTTGTGACCATTTTAAGCTTTTTTAGATAGAAATCTTGTTTTGATTTAAGAACTTTCTAGAAATGGGTGTGAGGATCTTAAAATAAAAAAGGGTGAGGGATCAAGAGAAATGACACCTTATTCTAGAAAATTCATAAAATGACTCACAGCCTCAATTATCTTAGTTATTTTCCACCACTGATGATTTATAATAAACTACACACTGTGCCTGTAATGAGTAATTCTATTATTTTTTTAGTTTTCTCTAATTGGTGTGTGATCTATAAAAGGCCTGACATGCTCAGTTAGTTTTTGGGTGGTCGGATGGCTGCTATCATGTTTAAAGTATGCCATACAGTTGCAGTGACTGATGCAGATGGAAGAATGCCCTCCTATGAGCCAAACGTCACAGCCTGCCAGAGAGTCCACTGGAATCTGGGCTCTCGTATCAGTGGAAACTTTTTGGTTAAAGGTCAGTTACTGCCACGAATCTAAAAGGACCCGGTCACAGTGGAACAGACGAGCTAACACTGCCCCCCGTAATCCTCCTAACACCAAACAAGCTCCAGAAGAATGAGGTCAAGCCCTGTTGGTCACTGCAGAAAGTAAACAAGCTGCTCAGGTTTCTAACAGATCATTAAGTCTTTTCCATTTGCATGAAATCAGCAAAGAATATGGATTTGTTGCCTTGTGCAATTCTGTGTTAAGACACAACAACTGTGTTTTTTCTAACTCAAACTGTCAATCATTAAATTGGGTCACCAGACTTACTGAAGAGCAAAGTGAGCAAATTCTTTTGTAGGTCTGTACAGAGGTGGCAGGGATTTAATCTAAATAAAAGCCCAGCAGGAACACAGCAGCCTCCCATGGCCTCAAACAGGCTGGAATATTTTAAAGGGTTACTCCATCAATTTTACACATGAAGTTCAGTTTACTTGTCATGAGGCGCTGTCATCAGGGGCATCTGTGTTTTAAACCGGAGGTGTGGAGTTTGACAGAAGTGGCTGTGAGAAATGCAGGAGGATATGGTTTTAAGCTTGACTGATATTAGCGACTAAAAGCGACAGATTTGACTTTGACCATTCAGTTTTTTTTATCAGTCTTGTGAGTCCCTGAACTTTGTGGAAATGCAACACTGAGTAACTGTGTAACCCTCTAAGAGTGAGCTACAGAACAGATGTGTGGTGAAGCTAAACAGATGTTGGTGTTTCGCTTTACCCATATAATGTATTATATCAAACCATTGTTGTTAAATTATCAAGCTGAGGTCTTTGTTTACAAAATCTCTGGCCCTTGTGTTTCTAGGAGTAAAAGTGTTACATTTGATTGCTTCCTATTTCCTTTTTCCTATTTCCAGCATCATCTAATCAGAGGTTGGAGGAAGTATTCAGATCTTTACTTCAAGACTAGTCTTGCAGATCTATCTCCACAGCCCTGTGTCAGCGCTGGAGAATGGTCTGCCTGCACGCATAATCATTCTGCTACAGGGAATGGCTTGTTTGCATTTCTTTAAACCAAACAAAATCATCTGAGCCCGGGATGCAGCAACAGTGCCCCTGCATAATAGTGTCGGAGGGGAACTTGATTTAGTGAAACATTTGCACGTGCAGAGGGGAGCACTGTCAATAAAGCAGCCGATTCCCAGCAAAGAAAACACCACAAAAAAACAGCAAAGATGTATGTCAATTGTGTGATTACACAATTCAAATCTTGCCATATTCAGCGCGCAGGTTGCAGCTCAGGGGTTGTTATTTCCTGTAGCGAAGGGGATTTTGAAAACAGTAAAAGGCAGGGGAAGTGGGAGGGGAGGAGATTGCCACTTGGAGTAGGCGCAAGTGGAAGGCTTTATACCTTCAGCCTACATCCAGTGAGTCAGACTTCAAGAGTAACTTAACAGAAGGCGGAAAAGCACTGATTTGTTGCCCTCTCTGCTTGAAGGTTTCTTGCTTGTTTCACCTCTCAGGATGAGGTATGGTTAGGTGTGGCCTGAAAAGTGCTTTGTCACCTGTGACCACACCCAACAGTGACATCATGGTGCCCTGGGGTACACTTCTACATCACTGTCCCAAGATGAGCTGGTCAACCACCAGGGGACAGCAAAAAAAACATATAATTTCAGGAGGTGTTAACTAACCCTTTAAGTGAAAGTAATAATACTGTAAGCACTGTGATACCTCATTACAAGAAAATGTCCTGAATTCAAAGTTTACAGTGCATGCAATGTACACAAAGTATCAAAAGTAAAAGTACATCAAGCAGCAGGTCAGTGTAATTATATTATGTGATTATCATTACTCATGCATTAGCATATAAGTATCATTTTGATGTTGTAGCTGGTTAAGGTGCAGTTTATTTTAATTCTTTAACTTAATACAAAGGTGTCATTTATAACAATACTTGATATTTTGTATCCTGATTGTGTTTTACATTTAACATTTGAATCTGGAAATGAAGTACAGCTGTCAGATACATGCAGTGAAATCAAGTGTACAAGATGGAAATACTCAAGTAAAGTACCTACAATTATACTAATTTAGACAACTGAAATAAATTCTACCACTGCTTATGATGAAGTAAGGAAATACTGGTAATAGTTACTGTACAGTGTTTTCAGTGTCACCCCTATCTGTGTGCAGGTGTTAGAGCTCCCCTGTGTGGACACTCAGGTAAAATGCAGCATGCTGTCCTCACACTCTCTTGGCACAGTCACCTTGTAGCTGTGGCATGACAGTTTGTAATTTTGCCCATTGTTGTTATCCCAGTAGTCAGATCCTCTTACGTGGTAGCAGATGGCAAATTCCAAGATCGCCCCTGGCTCCAAAATGAAAGGTGGGACTGGCAGACGAAATCTGAAAGTATCTGTGTCTGGAGAGTTGCTCTCCTCGCAGCTCCCACTTGATACCCAGACCGCTGTTGTATCCGTGTGCGCTCTCCAGTTGGTGAAAGAGTAGTGCACTGTGACCTCTTTCTCATAAGCTAAATTAAGTACTTGTATAGTGCCTGTTATTCCCTGCTCTGAACACACAACCTGCTGCAGACACACACTCTGAGTGCAGAGAAGCTTCAGGAAGTCTGGCTGAGCTCCCATATTTTCCGGGAAACAAGGTTTGAAGTAAGGCAGGGACAGCTCCAATGACCTCCCGAAAGCCAGTTCAGAGTTCATCAGTAGTCTGAACATAACATGTTGGGGAATCAGGGGGTGCTCTTGCACTTTGAAGACCTTAACTTCCTCTAACTCCAAGCCCAGTGAGTCCACAAAGCGTACCTGCAGGCTCCTGAGTTCTTTATTCCTCTCTGCAGACGAAGGAAGAGACTGTGCTCGTCTCCTCATGATCGTCTTGACCGGAGGATCGCTTGGCGCATTGGGCTTTACACTGGGTTCCTGTACTGAGGGAGTTCTCGGACCTGGAGGACGGATCCGAACAGGAGCTTTGGGAGGTTGCGGCTTGGGATCATAAATGTCCCGAAGACGGATGGTGGTGTTTTTAGTGGTGGATATGCTGCTGGAGCCATTGATGAACTGAAGCTGGATCCCTTTCTTCTCACCAGAGCTCCTCTGCTGCCATTTATCACAACTCCCAGCCATGTTCGCCACATACAATCACCTTGAGAAACAAACCAACCGATGCATAACCTAATCATTTGGTTTTTCACACAGTACATGCAAATGTCTATGTTACAATCACCAATTTCTAGATAAAACAGCAGTCATGACAAGACCATTAGGTAAATGCTTAAAATCAAAATCAATGCAAAAGTTTAAAACATGTTCAAGAAGGACCGAACCTTTACAGCAGACTTCCTCTCTTGTTGGGCTGGTGTCTTGTATTGACCTTGCTCACTGTAGGGAAGCTGCTATGAACCCAACTGCAAGTAGATGACGGACACGAGGAAAGGGCCTCTGCCAGCAATGCCAGTAACATGCCACAGGAAGCCAAGCACAACATCTTGAGCAAAAAAAAAATGAAGCTACTACATGCTGCCAACAGCAGATGATCTGGTAAAATAAGACCAGAATCTACCTACGAAACCATCAGTGACTGCACTGACAACCAGACCTGGAAACAAACTGTAATCTATGGCTCTCACACTTGGAGCTCAGCCCTTGACATATAACATGAGACCATAACTGGGGATGGGAGGTGTAGTGAATATTTATAGCAGGTAGTGGTGGGCTGTGCCTCTGTTCATTGAAGATGCCTGTCTTGCTTCTTTATAGTTACTGGCCTGAAATACCCAACTGGTTACAGGGTTAAAATGGGTGGAACCTACTGTCAGGCTGCTATCTATTTACAGAATTACTGCTGTCTTGATTTACAGCTGCGTCTACGCCAAAATGTTTTCATTTTAAAACCCCATCCAGGCTACCGTTTTAGCTCTGTATCAGAAATAATGTACATCCATACTAACACACCTGAAAACGCATATCACATGATCATTCATGTACACTGGGCATGCACATGCCGGTGTACAGATAAGCAGATTGTGTGCTCTGCAGTTAGTTGCAGAAAATACCACGAAGAGGAAACAGCAACGACAGTTGTAGCATTAAAATGCTGAAATAAACTGCTCAACAGCTGCTAGCAATGACAACAAGGTCAGTAATGCTTGAAAATCCTTTTCCATGTTGCATTCACCACGGATAGTTTCCAAAGGCCAGTCCACACTAAAAAAGCAACAGAGTTTCCGCACTAAAACGGGACCAGCAGCATTTCCAAAAGTCTTTGCTCTAGGGGCTTGAAAACTCCACAGTAGTGTGGACGGCAGATGTGAAATTAGCAAAAGTGAAAAGTGTGGATGTAGTCACAGAAAAACTAACAATTCAACAAAAAAAGCAAAATAAAAACTTAAAAACTACCTCTGTGAAATGTATCATTTATAATTGTTGACAGTGAGCCACTGTTTAGTTTTTTTTTTTAATGTTTTGTATTGTTTTGCATTAATTGCAAGATATTGTGAGACATGTTTTTGTCATGGTTTGCCCTGATGGACAATTTATGTTTGAGCTTTGGGACTTTTATATTTGGATATTTGTTTCATTTCCTGTTTTATTTTGTATTACTTCCCTTGTGTGTTGTGTGGTAATTCACTTCCTGTGTTTGTCCCGTTTCCCTCCTTGTAGATTGTCTGCCCCGCCCTAATGTATTTCACCTGTGTCCAGTTACCCTTGCCGTCCCTGTGTGTCTTAAGTCTCTGTGCTGCCCTTTGTCTTTGTCAGTTCATCCTTCTTGTTTTCCCTAGTGTCTCTGCTCCTGTTCTTTCAGTATTTGGATTTTTGGTTGTACACTTGTTTTGTTTTTGTGTTCCCCTGTTCTATCTTGTTTTCCTACATTTTGGATTTTGAGTTCTCAACATTTTCACTGGTTTTGTGGGTTTCCTTTTGTTATTCTACCCCCTTTTTGGATTGTCTTCATTTGGGTCCAACTCTGCAAAACCTGACAGTTTTGTCTTCTAGGGGAAAAATGAAATGGACACATTATGAGCCGTATTCATTTTTTTTTTCTGCTGCCCATTCTCCACCTCACTCTTTAGGTTACACACCTTTCTGGTATTTTTGCAACTAGTTTGTTTGGGAAACAGACGAGCCTACGGTGGCCCTGAGAGCGTCTGTGTATTTGCATGTGCTGTGTTTTTGCAGGGCATGTGTTGTCAAATTGATGAAGATGTTTTCTGAATTTGCAGCGTGTTTGTGTCTTTGCGTGTGTTTTCTGAAGTTGCAGTTCGTTGAGCTCTCAGGGCCACCGTACAAGCCTCCCACAGCTTTCCGAACAAACGTGAATCATTTCAAACACTTGTCTTGAGTCTGACCGAAAGTAAATACAAAATGTGGCCGCTGAGAAATCACAATTAATCGAAATAACATTATCAATCAGAACACACGCACACAAAACTCAAAGCTTTCAGAAAAATGACCATGGACTGTTTTTTTTTTATAAACTCCTAAATAATCTATGTATGTGTGTATGTTCTTTTATGTCAACGTAAAATAAAAATGGTCCTACCTCCTCTGGCAGTGGAGTACCATCATCTGTCGGCCTCCCTTCTAATAGGGAGGGGATTGCTTCTAATAGGATTGCTTCTCCCTCTGTTGAAGCAATGTCAGTTTGATCTGCTCCTCAGCTAGAGAGATCTGTGTCTCTGCTCTCTCCGTCTCCTTCCTCACTACATCCCCAGAACCGTCTTGATCCTTTGGGTCCTTTGCAAGACGTCATATGGGGCGGTTCCACCCCTGAAGAGTGGGGGTCCTCTTGCTGGTTTCGGGGGGCCGCCTGAAGAGTGGGGGCCATCCTGTGGACGTTGGGGGTCGCCTGAACTGTGAGGGTCCCCCTGCAGTTGGGGATTGGCATGCTGTGCCTCAAGGTTCAGGATAAAGAGCACACAGTCCAGATTCACCACCTTGTGAGACTGACTGAATGCCATGGAGCGCCTCAGACCTTTTTCCTCCAATGATGTCTAGAACAACATCAGTAAACTCACCCCGCTTATATTGCTTCCTGTTTTAGGGTTGTGAGACTCAGTATTGTCCTTTGTGGCCTTCTGTTTTAGATTTTTCCAGCGCAGTTTCACCTGTTCCAGAGTTCTTAATTCCCCACTCCCTGCGGAATTGACACTGTTGGTTACTCTCTTTCAAATGTTAGTTTTCATCTTGGATGTTACTGTTTTGTCAAATTTAGCAATCAGAGAGACATAATGTGCCCTCACACCATCCAGGAAGGCGTGTGTTTGCGCTTCTGTGCATGTGGATCCTTCTATCAAGTCATTGGAGATTGTGTGTGTGTGTGTGTGTGTGTGTGTGTGTGTGTGGTACAGACTGTCTTCTGCATTAGCCAGCCTTGTCAACCAGTTTGTCAAGTTTCCAAGGGATCCAGAAGACACCAGGCAGATCAAGCGCAAGTTCTTTAAAATGAGGAGGATGCCAAACACTGTCAGGGTGATAGACTGCACTCATGTTCACATCCAAGCACCCCATGAAAGGGAATGAGAGTTTGTTAAAACAGGAAAGGGCGGCACAGCATCAATGTACAACTTGTGGCAAATGCAGACCTCCACATCACTAACTGTGTTGTTAAATGGCCAGGATCGGTCCATGATGCAAGGATCTTGAGGGAGAGCCATATTTTTAGATTATTATTATTAGACACCTCCAACAGAATCCCCCAGATGGCAGCGCATATCTACTCTTACCATGGCTGATGACACCCTTTCCCATCTCCCAGCAACGATGCAGAGGACAGATTTAATGGTGCTCATAGAGGATCGAGGAGCTTAATTTAACGGCTAAATTGGGTGCTGAGGAGGCGCTTTGCGTGCCTGAACTACCTACGCGTGTAGCCCCACATTCTCGCCTGCATCGTGCTTCATAACGTCGCTGAAAAACGTTCCTCACTGTGATGCTGGGCCCAGGGGGGGGGGCATCACAAATCAGTATTTGGGCGCGGCTCAGCTGCTCACCTGGTAGAGCGCATAACACAAAGCCTTAGTCCTACCCACAACAGCCGGGGTTCATTCCGACCTGATTGCCTGCATGTCATGCTTTCTCTCTCTCTCTCCCTGACTTTCCTGTGTCTCTCTCTCTCTCTCTGTAGCGATCTGAATAAAGGCCTAAAAATAACTTTTAAAAATCTGTGATTCTCCGAAGATTGTCGGCGGACACACGATGTCTAGTAGTAGCTGGAAACTGAGACTGCTTACCTTTGATTCTTTAATAAATTATGAACCAGACATTCAGGAGGTTTTTGCCAGCAGCCGAGTAATGGCCCATGCCTATGCCTGTGCACTGTATCGCCACGGGCCCCACCACTGCCCTCTGCCTCAGCAGTGACTCTGGCACTTCCAGAGATTTGATGTCACTTTGGATCACTGGATTCACTGCACTGGAGAACTGTGCGTGACACCATGAACTCTTCAACAAGGCCACTGATGGGTAGGTGCAGGATGTTACGAGCGCCATACAGAGCAGCAATGCTCAGACTGCGGGGTAGGCCTAGCCATCTTTGCAAAGTAGCTGCTGAAGTTTTAGTTTCTCTTCACTCACTTCACTGTAATGAGCACATGACCAGACTCACAGCTTAAGTCACAGTATCTGCACCATTACACATAGATAGTATCTGCACCGTCCGTGGGCGTGTTATGGTATTGCATGTGCAGACCTCGAATATGTTGATTAATCGCTTCACATAAGTTAAAAAAAAGTAGTCGGACCAAAGGCTTTTTTATGCCTTCTAATAAACTAACCCCTGCTTGTTCTTCTCATGTATCTGCATGTATTGAATCAAAGAGGTCATTTAAAAACACTTACTGACGTTCTGAAGGAACTAAAGAATATTTAGCCATCTGGATGAAAAAATATTGTGTTCAAATGATAAAAAAAAAGATTTTAATCTGTTAAGTTGGACCTCTGTGACAGAATCAGAACATTAGCAGCTTGATGTCGACCTGGACAAAGCGTCAATACTTGAGGAACAGTGTAACCTCTGTCCCATCAGGGCAGCTTTTACAGTTCTACATCCATACATCACCTGACCTCTCACAGGAGCCATCTTCAACAGACTGACTGTCAACATGATGTGCGTGTGTGCGTGCGTG